AGGCAATCTTTATATTCTGATCGAGATAAAACAGTAGCTCTTGTGTGTTTGTGCAGCTGGAAGTGCCATAACTTAGTAAGCCCCTCATTTTACATAGGACAGTAGGCAAAGCACTGGCCTGAAGTTGTGAAGCATGATCCTTAAACCTTCCAGTAAGCTAAGGTGTTGTTAAAGGGGAAGGTTTAGCTTCATTTAAAATCCAAAACTGGCTATTTGCATGGTAGGCTGGGTATGAGAGCAATGCAGTGAAATCTGCAGTGCCGCCTTGTATAGTTTTTGCCGTAGGCCAACTTATATTTGCAACGATAGATACTGAAAAATTTATTTCCAAAATTGCCTATGTCAAGCAGGCTAGAAGAGGCCTTGGACCACTAATAGATTAAAATGAGGCATAATTTTTTGGTGTGCTGTTGTGGCCTTTCTGCTTTATGTCCATAGGTACTATTTGCCCTGGCTAAATGTGAGGTTCCTTAGTTCAATGAATATTCCCTAGTATGAGTCAGCTGGGGGGGATTTCTTTTTAATTATTTTAAAAAAACCAAACACAAGTTGATTGTAAACAACATTAATAACAGTTTTGCTTTGTTTTTAAGAAGTTTTTGTGTTAAGTGTTTCATGAGAGTAGGAGGATGGTGGAAATGCACTTTTCTGCCTCGTTTCATTGCTGTTGGCAACTCAGTATCAGTGAAGGAAGCTCTATTGGGTCACCTCTTGCCAGGTCCTTGCTGCGGAACGGCAGTACGCGCACGCGTGTGTGCGTCCACACGTGGTTTGTGGGTACAGACGTGCGTAGAAAGGCACTTGCTCCGTTTCAAAAGCGCTAGCTTAATGTTCTCCAGTGCTGGATGCAGTCCTTTGTGGAGGTCAGGAAATGTGACCTCACGTGTGCTGCCGTGGTAGAGTTGCTTCTCCCTTCCATGTGTTAAAGCGGGTGGATTAATATGTTGAAAATGTCAAAGCTGGCCTGACTGCGGTACGGCGTTTTCATCTGCCGAGAGCCAATATTGGGTGATGACATCTTCTGCGCGGTGTTAACGTCTGGCGTGCGGGCTGGGCGGCGGGCGCGGCGCTGGCTGGCGAGCGGTGCCGGTCGGGCCTCTGCGTCCCCCGGCCTGCCCCGTCCCCGCAGCCCGCCCTGCATCGGGTACCGCGGGCTCCGCTCCTCCTGGCCGGTTGACTGGTGAAGGTGAACCCTCGTAGCTGCACACACACCACCCGCAGGGATCGCTGGGGTTTGTTATCGTGCACATTTGCTGCTTTTTATATCTTTCCTGTTGTCTCGGCCTGGCCTGTCAGTTGTTGTTTTTGCAGGGCTGTTCTTTAAACTCTGCGTTTTGGAAACATTTGTATTTACAAGCTGCAGCGCAGCACTGTTGTCTTAGCGTTCTGACTGACCCTGATTGCTATGACACATGTAACTAATGATGTTTTGTACTTTCAAGGAGCGCACTAAAAAGGTGATGACATATGAGTTACTGAATAAGGTACTGTGCAACTTGTGCAGCAGAGTTTGTGCAGGCCTTATGGAGCATAATCAGCAGTTTTCCTGTGCTCATACTTGCTTCCCGTCGGACTGGCCTGTCTCCAGCACTGAGGCTGCATCGCGCACCGAGGGTTCAGAGGGAGAGAAAAGCAGAGCGCTAAGCCGACCGCTCGGCTTGAAGAAGCCTAATTTGATTAGGCTTTGATTTGATTCTCGTGATGTGTGGCAAATACGTCCCTGTACATGTGTGTGTGAGGAAACTGAAAATGGGTGTAAAATTAAAAAAAAGAAAAACCCACAAAATTTCAGATTGCCCTTTTATTTTTGTTTACTCTTCAACCACCATCTGATTTATGCTCATTGGAGTCTTTGAACTTCAGCGCCCTTGAAGAATCTCTCATCTATCGCTTTTCTGGTGTGGCGTGAAGGGGGGTGTGTGTGGGGGTGCGTGCGCGGGTGCATGCGCTCGCATGCTGCGGTGCTCTGGGCAATTTCACTCCAGAGCGCTTCCCTTCCTTTGTTTAACCTATGACCTGTGAAAACAAGAGTTAATCAAAAGTTCTAAGGTAGCTAAGAGGAAGGGGAAGTGTTTGGTTACAAATTAAATATGAGCAAGTCATAAGCCATAAATCTTCAGTAGTGCTACCAGTTGTGCTACTTAAGTTGCATGTGGTACAGAAAGTTTTTGGTTAGAAGTTCAACCTCTGTTTCTTTGGAGGGGGTGTTTAAAGGCTGCCTTGAGGATTTGCTTTTTTTAAGAAAAAATCCACGTCTTTTCTTTTTTCCTATAGGCATAGATCTAGAAACAAATTCAGATAACTGTTTTTCTTGATTTTGGGGGGTGTGTGGGTGTGCAACTTTAACTGGTCACAATTTGGTCTAATAAAAGCAGAGCTGTTTCACTCTTGAGTAGTAAACACATGGAATAAGTGATGAAGTAAAAGTATTGAAGAGAGCAGGATAAATTAGTCTTCTAACGTAGCCAAAGCTTTCAGGATGAGAGAGATCCTGAATTCTGCAGTGATAAAGGAGGGAGGTGAAAATTGAAGTGAGATTCTCTACATAATTTATGCAATTTGGCGGTGCCTTTGTTTTATCTTGTCTTGCACCTCTCTTGAGCAAGAGCTCCGCAGATCCTTGTGTATTGTATTGTGTTGAGGTCTGCTTCAAATATCGGCTAATTTCCTCAACTTCAAAACTGTGAAACTTCTTGCCTCAAAATGGAAAGTTATTCTTAAAATAAGTAGTAGTAGTGGTTATGATGATATGCTGAACCATTATTTGGAAAACCTGGATTGAAATAGGGAAGAGTTAGTGTTAAACAAAGGACAATATTGAAGTTCATGATAAGGCGCTAGTGAAGAGAAAAGGGAAAGCCAACAAGGAGTGTGGAAGTGTAACGGAGGTGGGGCTGTACCTTCCCCTCTGTGGTATGGAGGGTTTGCTGGCGTCATGATGTTGTGTGAATGTGAGAATCATGGAAGCTATTTTCTAGGTTCTCAGCAAAAGAATTAAAATTGGATTTGGATAGAGTATTCTCATGGGTAGAACCTACAGATTTGTTGTTTGGTGTATGGTGGTCATAAAACTTCCTTGACTCTGTAGTGAGGTGAGGTTTGGCTGGAACAAACAGGCCCCTGATGGGACAGATAAGTAAATCTTTGAAGAAAGACCACAACCCGACCTTGGCTTCAGAGCTCAGCATTGTCCCTGTTGGGTACGTGCTCCACTTGTGGCGAACGGTGCCGAGAACCTGGTCCGTCCTCGCCTGCAGGCGCTGGGGCTCTAACCGAACTGCAACGCTGGCACAGCAGAAGCTGAGGTAACTTGCTTTTCTTTAGTGCTTGTAGAGTGACACGTACATTAGAAACACAATAATATTTTAAAAGCTTCTCATCTTAATTCTGTAAGTGTAGTTTTCCAGCAAGGACCCGAGCAATTAAGCAGAACTTTAAATATGCCTTCCTGAAAGAAGTTTTGGTTTCACACTGTCAGGGAGCTTTCTGCCGCCTCGGTTTTCTGTCTTTTCAAACTCTCTTGATAGATGCCTTGCAAGGGTTTGTTTACCAGGTTCTTAATCTCTGCTTAGCAGATATGTTTTGAGAGGATTTCTCGTTACTCTTGTAATGGCTTTTAACTCTGCTAAAGTTTATTTAACTAAACAGAAAGAAAGAAACTTATCTTCTAACTAATCCTTCCTGATTGTTTACAATATAATGCCAAACTTAAATGCTGTTTAAAGTGGTAATTGTCTGTCTTTCTGCTATTCTAATACATAGTTTGTAAAGATGCTTAGAGTATATTAATTTAAATGATAATACTGTCATATAACATGAAACGTTAAGTTGCTTATCAGTATATTTTGATAAGCTACTTACATTTTACAGTAGCATGTGCAGGCTTCAAACAAATGTTAATGATGGAGTGCCATTCACTTTATCTGTCTCGTATATAGCTTCTCACTTCATTTGTTACTAAAAGCTGTACAGTTAGGAACCACGGGGCACTCCATTCTTTATAGTTGTCAGGATGTAGTCATATTTTATGAAAACTTTAAATCCTGTCTAACTATATCGAAATAGAATCCATTTGCTTCAGAAAGCATCTGTGATTAAAGGAAGAATCTGCTTGTGCGTCACGCAAACTTGCTTCCCTATTCGCTGCAGCTGAGGGGAAATTCCTTGCCGGTATTTAAAAAGGAATTTAAGTTAAGAACTGTGCCATGAAAATAGGGCACAAAGTCGTACCAAAGCATACAGTAGTGAAAAGTAACATCTTAGCTTCTGTCTTACTTTGTGGAATGAAATGTAATATAAATGAAAAAAGTGATTTTTTTCTGTATGTTTGTTTTTTAATTTTGTTTCTTTATTTCTTTTGCAAGTTGAGTGCAAATTTTCTATTTGACCTAACTGAGGGCTGGGCATCATACAATGATGAAATAAGATTTGACAACAGTTAAAAACTGAGATACTCGTTTTGCAATGTGAAAAATCCAGTTGTATCAAGATTCAAACCCAAACCAACTGTCTGCAGTTTACAGAAGACGAATTATTCAACATACACTTTGGGAAATAATTGTGATTAAACATGTTGCACCATACGTGAACATCAGTGTACGTTTATCTTGCAGGTTAAAAGCTTTCTTTGGATTGTGTGTGTGTTGTGTGCAGGGCGAGAAGGAAGGTGAGCTCCCAGCACTGGCTAGCACTGGTCCCCCAGTTAGGTTTGAGCTGGTGCTATGAGGGATGTATAGTGCCCACGGGTGGCTGGAAGTGCTGGGGAAGAGCAAATGCTGAAGCCCAGCCCTCAAAGGAAAGGGTTCCTTCAACCTCCTGGCAGCGTTCTCCTTCGAATGGAAGGTCTGATGGGGCTTTCCTGACAGATTTTTAGCACGTGTCATGTCCAGCGGAGGCTGCTCTTAGGATGTATCTATGCAGTAAAGGCCAGCAATCTTGCATTTATTAACTGAGATTTAGTAAGTTAAATGTGCTTTTTCTTTCTTTCTTTCTTTTTTCAGTTACCTCCCGTGGTTTGAAGTCTTTTATAAGCTGCTCAATATCTTGGCAGATTATTCAGCAAAAGGACAGGTATTATTCTGAAGTACTAACCCTTCTGTTCTCTGCCCCGATATCAAATGAGGGAGAGAGGATGAAAACAAGCTGTTTTAAGAAGTGCTTCTATCAGAGATGACCATGTGAATTATTAATCTGTAGGATGCAGTAATATAGAAGATTGTATTCAGCCAAGCTGAAAGCTTGGCAAATGCCTTTGAAAAATAAATATGCTTTTAAATTATTTTTGGGAAAAAGTCTAAGAACGTGACTGTGGACCCAACACAAGTTAATGGTTTCCCTGCAGTCACCCATACTGTGCAGACTGTTTGATTGCCTGAACTGTGGTCGGCACATCCATGCCATTCCCGTACCCCAGTGTTTCATGAACCTCTGGCAGATGTCTTACCCGAGTTTACTTGTCGTGTAAAGCCAGTGTAGAACTGAGCTTACTGATGCAAAATGCTTACCCGTAGCATCACCTAGCCTAAGCCCTTCAGATGCTGTTTTGCTTTTAAAGCAAAACAAAGTAAAATTCACTCTTGAGATAGTGAAAAAATGTGAACTAAGGCATTAAAATTTGCTTCTAGGTTTATAAATGATAACTCATGATACAGAGAAATGACATATATGATTGCAACACCTAGCCTAGCTTAATGTATTTAAAATATTACAAGTATAATCTTCCCGGTTAGGTTGCTGCTTTGATTTATTACCGTTTTGTGGTAATAGTTATGTTTTGCTTTTGTCAGAATCATTAAATGTGTTTGAGGTAGAAGCACTTAGGGTGACATCTTCATCTAGGTGGATGAAATACATTCGGCTTTACCCTAAGCCAGTGAGTTGTTATAAAGAACTTGCAGTGAAAACTGACTTGCTCTGAGCTGAGTAACTGTGTAGTGCATAGGTTGGTGACTCAGTACATTGCAGAAAGATGTAGAAACACATGTGAAAAAAATATTCTAAAGAAATCATATTATAAAATCCAGCTGTCAGAGGAAACTATGTTTATTTCTATTCATGATCTAATGTATAGATCTATTCATGTTTTCTTTACACTTGCAATTCTCTTAAGCCCCCAGTTCCACAAACATTGCCCTTCTGCCCTTCTGTCTGGGAGTTTAGCTTTTATAGCAATGCCTACATAGTATTTTTTTTTTTTTTCCTCCTTATTTCAGGATAGTCAAAGGAGTGAGCTCCTAGAAACATTTCATAAACTAACCATCCCTGAGCCAGGAACCTCTGTTCATCTTGGAGTGGTAAGTGATGTGAGAGATGTAAACGAAGGTGTTTAATGTTCGTTACATATCGTAATAGAGGAATGTCAAAAGCAATTCTCCTTTTTGGAACTTAGTACACGGATGTTGTTTTCCTGTGAGGACACAGAGCTGTGAAATTCCCCTTTTCACATTTGGGGCCCTCTGTTTCCCTTTTCCTTAACCTCGAATGTCTTTGAAATACTGTTCTTTGATTGGAGGAAGATTGTGTATATTCCCCATGGAAATTTCTCACCAGATCGTCTGTGACCTGCGAGAGGTCACAGAGCAGCAACATGACATTTATTGCCCACACTTCTGCAGAACTCCAAGATCTTACAAGTATGCAAGGGGGAGAAGAACAGAAAGTAAACAGTCGCGTACCTGTCAGAGCAGCATTTTGAGCATTAACCGTTTTTCACGTTTTCTGATTCTTTCTCTTCTTCCTCACCCCAAGGAAAAACTCACACAAAAAAGGATTTATTTCGTTTTTGTAACTTGTGAGAAAATTAATGAAAGAACACTGAAAGAATAGATGTGGGGTTTTATGGATGGGATTGTATTTTGAATTTAGCCTTTTGGGGTTTTTGTCTTCAAATTAATGTTTGCAGAACAACCTCGTGTTCCAGGCTGTAGTGAAAAAATACTTACGAGGCACATTGCTGCAGTTGCCAATTAGTCATTTAGAGTTCACATGGAAACTAGTGGTGTGTGCAGCCACAGTTCTCTTCTCCCTCTCATTTCCTTTGCTCCTTCTAAAGTACTTTTTGGCAACAAGCAGCTTACTCTCATCACTTCACCCTATAATGTCAGTCGACAGGTAACAGTTGTTTGGCCTTGCTAGGTCACCAGCTGGCAGTGGAAATGTCCCAGTCCTCTTGAGGCTAGCTCTTTATGAACAGCATTTCTGTTTAAGGGGATGAGCTGTCTCGAAAGGCAATGATCAGTTGGGATATTTCAGTTTTTTCATACCAGTGGTTTCAAGGAATGCTGCCGGTCTCCCCTTGTCTCAGACATTTCATGGGCAGTGAAGCAGGAAAGGGTATAAAAAAGCAGACAAGGGACTGTTAGCTGTGGTGTCTTTACACATTTTATTTTGGCTGTTTACAAGCCTATTTTGGGGTCGGGGTGAGGTTCCTGTACGTGGTATAGTTGTCTATACTATTCCTGTATCTTTGCATTGCATCTTTTCAACCAAACTAGAACAGTGATATATCAAAAAGCAGAAATTGGTGTTGTTACATTTCGTGTCTATATTCAGTGTAGCTGTTACACCCACTTGCTATTTCGGGTTATAGACTGTTCACGAAGCACCGAAAAGTCTGAGCTATATATACAAGAAAATTGTGCCAATTGTGGAACTATGCCAAGAATATAACAGCCTTTAAAGCTTCGGCAAGTGATTAATAAGTAGGCCTAAGACAAATTGTGAAAGTCTTTAAAATAAATTGTGCACAACATTGGTTTACAAAAGCAGTTGAGGTGCATTCTCTCCTTTCCTTTCCCCAAGGCCTAACTAAGAATCGTGCGAGTCATGCGTGGTCAGATTAGGAACTAGAGTGAACCTGGTCTCTTGGAATGCAGACAGTTAAAAAAATGTAACAATATAATGGATTATGAAATGGTGAGACCAATATAGTCTTTCAAAATGTGGGGTTTTTAAGGCATATAAAAGTGACCTAGAACTTTTGTAATATTTTTCAGGTAAGTAGGCATAAAACTTTAGGAAGCATTTCTCAGTAAACGTCCATAATTTCACACCATTGTCTTGAATGAAACTTGCTGATGCTGTGAGTCAGAAGAGGACCTGCTTGCTGCTGTTCCCTGCAGCCTGGGCTGTGGAAGGATGGCTTGAATTATAGACTGCCGTGGAGTTTCTTTGGCATGTGTCATACATTGTGTGAGTCTGTCTGTATCAGCGTCTCTGAAGAACAAAAAAATGGAGTATAACTTTTCAGGAGCATTTGATACTTTCTGTCTTAATGCATTTCATATTGCATGTGTGATCTGAGAATCCAGCTTTTGAAATCCATGACAAAGAAGTCATACTGGTAGTTGGTAACAAATGTTCTGTCATTTTTACTTAGCTGAGCAACTGCTGTTACTGCTGTTACTAATACCAAGCAATAAATTTAGATTGCTTTTGACAATATTGCAATAATCAATATTTGCTCTTTTTTGTAGCATTCGTACTTTACTGTGCCTGACATCAGAGAGCTTCCTAGTATACCTGAAAACGTGAGTACTCTAGAGGACTGTGCACTTCACCATTTCTGTTTAATGCCAGCAGCAAAACAGATAACAATTGTTACCTCTGTTTGGCCTAGTAACAGATTATATTCTGTGAAATATTGCTAGATGTTGAAGTGAACTTTAGGTTGTTAATTTATAATAAGTATTGGGCAGAAAACATTGTGTTGCCATCTGCAAAAATACATGAGTAACAGGCCTTTTGAAGTACAGCGTAACAGTAGAATGTAATGTTTGCCATTTTAATTAAGAAAAGATATCAAAAGAACACGGAATGGACAGCATCATTATCTTAAGCTGTAAGTCAAGATATTTATTCAAAAAATATAAAGCTTTTATTATTATCACCTCTGTTATTGCTTACTGCTAATATTCTGTGATTTCTTAGTTCTAGTAAGTGAGGAAATTTAAAATACATAGCTATAGTTTTAGCCCACTCAAAATTGGGAAAGAACAGAGATTTAGTAACTGTATGTAACAGTAAGGTGGCGTATCAGAGAACAATGATGGAGTTAATTTGTGTGAAAGTTCACTCAGTACAATAAGGCCGTGAAAAATTCTTGAAAGTAATCTCAAGGCAGTTTTGTGATTGCCATTTGAGTGAGTACTACAAAAGTCATCCTTTACATAAAAATGCATATTATGATAGGAATAAATTTCATCCACTTTACCAAGACTTTCATTTATCTCAAAAAGACAAGAATCTGTTGAGGTATTTCACCTTTGTAGCTAACTTGAATCAGGGTCAGTTTTCTTCTCGTAAGTTCCGAAGAACTGCTGTTTTTAAAAAAACCCTAATAATTTCACAACTAAAGAAGCAATTTTTTTTCTTCTGTGTTCAGATCGGCGTTTTGTTCTCCCCTTGCTGACCTCACACTGTTTTCATAATTTTGTTGGTTTTCTTGAGGTGTGAGACAACACGAAACTGAAACAAAAACTAAACTTGGGCAGTAATTGTTGGAACCTGCTGGAGAGCTAACATACTGGTTTGAAATTGATTTTTATGTGAAAAAAAATATTTCAATATAGTGTGTTGGTTTTATTTATTAAAGTGTTATGGGTACTTACTAGCCATGCCAAGGATGTAATCTTGATACTCAGCAGCTTTGGTGGAAGAGTTTGCGTTTCAGCTGGGGTTCCTCGGGCAGTCGTTCTTTTCTTTGTGGTAGCGTCTTCCTTCCGTGCCACATGTACACAACAGCGTTCCAGAGTTGACAGTCTGCGTTTGTGATTAAAAGCTGAAAGATACTAAGGATGAAGTACTAATGGGCTGATTGATACAGGTAGAATAAAGCAGATCTGCTAGTCATACAGTGAGAGCCTTCTGAAAGAACGACGTAAGAGACCAGTTAAAAAGGATCGGTTGGTTAGGTGGCTTTCTGACAATGTCAAGCATACCTGGTTTCTTTAGGGCCACTTTTACAGAGACTTTTTAAGCCTCACAAAGTTGTCTTGTATGTGTTTCAGCATGCCTCAGATTTCTAGCCAGATGATAGGTCTGTGGGAAGACAATGCTGGCATTTGCTTCTCTTAAATACTCTTTAATATGCTCCTGCCATGCCTCTCAGCCAAATTTCTGTGCCTGACATCTTAGTTTTCTTTCTTGAACATTTTGCGGTCTGCCTTAGCACCATATACCTCAATTTATGGCATGAAAGAAAGAAAGAAAAGGGAGTCATCAAGACATTTCATCTCGTTTGTGGATGATTTATATAGCAGATAACATTTGAGGCTTTTTGTTTCTGTTTTAAAACATTGTTGCTAGCTTTTCTGCATTGTAGGCTTTTCACGCTGACACTATCCTGTCAGTAAATTTAATAGATGTGCTCTTTCTTCTAGTGCTTCGTTTTTGTAGAAATACGATGCATTAGGAGTCATTCAAGAGTCAATTCCTGAATCTAAAGCAGCTATCAAATCCTGTCCTAATCAATCCTTAACCAGTTTTGTTTGATAAGCCTCAAATCACCTGGAGAGCACAGAGGGAAGTTTATTTCCATTTTGCAGGCTGTCAGATGGGAGGGCAGAGAGAAATGAGCTAGTAATGGTAAGAAAGCAGCGGCGGGGATTAAGAGTGGATCGTTCGCCTTGGGCCTGCTTCAGCTGATATGGAACAGCTTAATAACAGGGTGCACAGCGAGGGCTTCAGGAAGCATGGCTGTATTTATGCTGTGTTGGTTATGTCTGCTGGTGGTGTTCGCTTTGCATTCAAAGGTATGAGTCAGCTTCCCAAAACATTTAAGCAGGAGACATGATGAATGCTTGTGAATCAAAGGCTGCTAGAAAAGCAGAGGCCTTGGGCCAGGAGGAGCTGGAAACCCTTTGAAAGCTGAACGCTCAGCCTTCCTGGGAGGGAGTGCCATGTGATGCTAAAAAGCATCCTCTTTGAATCATTGAGTGGTGCTGATGTGCCTCAGAGGGAGTGTGGCTGCTTCGGTGTAGGGATCCTGTGCAGTGATGTCACGGTGAAGGATGGACTCTCGGCAGTGTCTGGGGTGAACCAGGGCACCTCTGGGAATAGGAGTGGAAGAACGTTTCATTCGGTTCACAGATATGCATGCCCATATATATGTGTTTATGGATACACACACCCAAATTATAAAGCTAGGGCTTTTGGTAGGGAAGAAAAAATACCAAACCAAACCTAACTAAAAATCAAATCCATTAGTCTGATTGTTGTTGCAGTTGACTGTCTTCTGTTTCTCAAGCATTTTGTTTATTTTTTTTTTTAATGAGTATTGTGTAATTTCTGATGTGGGTTCTATCTGTCTGTTAATGCCACTTTCATGTAGAATTGAAGCACGTTGGGGAATAATACAAGGACACTAGATGAGTGTAAATCTTCATGGATTTTAATCAATTGGCTTGATTTATTCAAAATTCTACGTATCTTATCAGTAATTACGTTTTAAAACCCATATTAGCAAAAATTTTAGTGATGCCAAACTGAGGTTGTATGTAATGATTAATGGAGAGCTGCCCAGAACTCTGGAATGGTAACAAACGTCTCGGGTTTGTGTCAGATCAGATGTTTAATGAGTCACAGAAACATTTAGCATGGATGCTTTTATGTAACTGCGAAGCATTCACTTTTTCAAAAGATTTAAGTTATATGAAAGATTTGTGAATGCATTGTGACCTCAGAAGTGAAATGGGGTCATTGCAGGAAATACAGTGCAAGACTGTAAGTTTCCTAGTGTTGTGTTTCAGAAATACCAGGTAAGTTAGCAGTCCGAAGTGGTGACGTTTTCTTGGTGTATTTTTGTATCACTGAGTCCTGTATTTCAAAACGCCCAATTTTTCACTCATTATAATGCAAGTCTTTTGCTACCCGTTTTTCTTAAAATCCTCCCCCCGGCCCTCCGTTTTATTTCTGTATTTGCACGATTTGATAAAGTCTATGGTCTTCATTACTTTGTTCTCCCAAACAGCAGCATGGCATGGTAAGAGTGTCAGCTGCGTACCAGGTTACCTAACCCGTGTTAGATTTTGGATGTGTGATATTTCAAAGAAAACAAACCTCTAAGTAAGATGAGGGATTTCTAATAGGAGGATGGAGAAGGAAACCTGGCTCAATTCTCTTGACCTGTTCTAATAGGAAATTAACGGGAGTCTTGTAAATGAAACTGTTCAAGAGCAGACTAAAATAAGTGAACTGTCATCCATGTTACCGTGTTGGAGCTTCGCTCTCTGCAGAGGAGAGAGCTTGTTGGTTTGTTCCTTCAGCGAGAAATTCTTCATTAGATGATGGAGGAAGAGACGTGCATGAATATTTTAATCTCAAAAGTCAGTGGGGATGTGCATTTGCTGATATTAGATAGCAAACTATCAACTAGATGATTGATCTAGGAATGAGCTTTCAGAAGAGCACAAGGGAATTTGGTAGCACTCTTAGTGAGATTTGAGAGGAGTGAGGATACCTGTTCCCATGTTTTATTTTGAAAATCCCACTTTTTACTCCCCCAAGAAAGGTTTAAATCCTACGAAACAAATCACACAACACTTATACTGGAAATTGGAACGCTTTCATTTGTATTTATTTAACTCATTCATGGTTTTGTCACTTACGAGACATGTCTTTCAAAATACATGTCTAAGTCCCAATTTCATCTTCAAAGATGACAGCTTTCTTATAAATACAACTTAGAGCTAGCACGTGAATTTCCTTAGTATCAATACATTACCATACAGCCCACATGCTTCACAGGTGTCATTGGCAAATTTCTGAGAGCAGGGAAGACTAAAACCTCATAAATCTTTCCATCTGAAGGTACATTTGTGTGTCAAAGCCAGTATTTTGCTAGAATAAACCTGATGAAAGAGTAATTGCAAATCAAGTCCCCGTGTCTATTCTCCTCTCGCTAGTGGGTACTGTTCCCTTATGAACACATCCATGCACGTGCTTATCTACACCTTCAGGCAGAACGTAGGCTCGTGGGCTCCTTCTGCCGTGCCCCTAGTTTGGGTGGTGTCGAAGGGACTTCAGTGCTACTTAAAAATTCTTTTAATTCACGCTATTTGCAGTAGTTGTGTCGTCATGCGCTGTGTTTTGGCGTCGTGGAAAGATGGGTGAGAGGGGGAAGAGCCGTAGCGAAGACAGCTTATGTTTAGACAAAAATATCATGCTAATCAGCACAGATGGGATGAGAAATACAGAAAAAGTACATGATAGTTTAATAGGTTTTTGGCAAAACGTGTTGGCTTTTTTTTTTCCTTCTTTGAATATACCTGTCTGTGGCTATAGCTGTCCTGTAACAAAGACCCGAATGATTGTTTTCTATTAACATGTTTCAAGCTAACCATAATGAGCTTAGTTTTTCTCTGTCTACATACCGGTACAAGAGTCTTCCAAATACAATGCTTAATTTTTCTTTAGTTCTTTCTGTTTGGATGGCAAGCTGTGGAACATATTTTTGCACAGTATGAAGCATCTTGGCAGACTTCTCAGGCCAAGTATTGGTGGGTTTAGAGTTATCTTTGGATCTGTCAAAAGTGCTAATAGGCTTTGTTGAGCTTCTTTAAGTTTCTAAATCATATTTGCTTTTTGCTTTTCTGCACTTTTTTATTTAACGATGATTAAGATTGCACTTGAATTCATGACTAATCTAATTTTGCTCTCACATGTGCTTTTTGTATAAGACTGTCTTTATCATATAGCAACCCTTTCATGTCTTTAAGAAGCTATTTGGAAACAAATTCCCCAGTTCAGCAATTTTGAGTGTATTACCTTCTCTTCCACCGCCCCCTCTTTTTTTAAATTTCTGTGTTTTAAGAAGTGAAAGTGTCCTTTACATAGAAAAAACATTTTTTGTTTGCCTTGTGCAGTAGAATCCCCTCATTCTAGGAGAACGTAATACGTTGTGATCAAGTTACCTACATGGTAGCTTTCTAGTTTTGATAGTAAAGATCTCAGGATCACATTCTGCTGTTTATTAGAAGACATCTTAAATATTTAGTGAGTAATACATGATTCATGCCCCTACAGCATGTGCACAGGGCAGTTACATGGGTAATGATGAACGGATCATGTTGCTGGCTGTGGGATGAAGCGGCCATAGCCTTTTGTGCAGCTTGCTCTGTTTGCTTTTTTGAATTTCAGTTATTTACAATAATTTTTACATAGGTACCTTTTAATATTCTGAGCAGCAAAAGCATGGAGGAAGCCTGGGTTGCCTAGGAAGTGAACATGTAAGGTTTCGGCTGCGTTCCTTCCTTGTGTCTTTGTCTTTCTATCTATACTTTAGCAGCAGATTGCAGATGTGCTTTGCTTACAATATTCTTCTACTGCAATGAATTTTCGTTATACTATGTAAACTTACTGATCGCCAAGTAAAACGGGATGAGTGACTCCTGCCCCTTCCTCAGAGGTGGGCATCCACTGACATTTTCAGAGAGAGAATTCTCTGCCTCCTCCTTCAGTTTCCTCAGCCACCCAAGGAAGCGCTTTCTGTCTATCTTCCACCAAGGGAAACGTGTGTCTGAGTGCACGAAGTGAGGAGTTCAGACAACCTGTGTAAATGTTTTCAGCTTGTGTGTTAAATGTCCGTGTGCATTTCCAGTTACCAGAATTGTTCCGGCATAGACTGAGCTTACATTTGAATTTGTCATATTAGAATTGTCCTCTAAGACAGCTGGTTTTATTTTGGGGTTGGGAGATTTTTTTGATACTTCTATCAGGTAGCTTTGAAGTTTCCATAAAAGTGACAGAAGATTTTTTTTTTTTTTTCTTCTCAGAGAAGCATCTTGTATCTAAGAAACTGTATGTGAAACATCATGAGTTTTATTATTCCAAGACCTAGCTCCCCAAAAGTTAGGGGAAAGATGCTGCAATCAAAAAGTACTCTGACATGAGATGACATACTGCTTGCTTTCGTTAAGCCATGTACTGGGTGTAGGGTAATAGGAGGATGAAATCTGGTAAATTTTTTGTTGAGGACACTTGTTTTCATCTATTATCATGATCAAAAATTATTTTCTCTCTTCCCAGAGGAATCTGACAGAGTATTTTGTAGCAGTTGATGTCAACAACATGCTGCATCTTTACGCCAGTATGCTGTATGAACGCCGCATCCTCATTTGTTGTAGTAAGCTGAGCACTGTAAGTAAAAGGCAGAATAATTTCTTCTATTCACAGTACTTCTGTAAAAACAACCGTCAAATCTAGGAAATGACCTGATGATCTCCAGGTGCCCCTTCCAACCTCAGCTGTGCAACCTCAACTCAATTCTGAGGTTCCATGTGACGATTTACTGAACTTCTGTCGGCCTCTAATGTTCAAATGAAGAATTTTTTTTGGATATGGGAATTCTTGGGGTTGTTTGTACATAAATGTACAAACATTTATGCCATAGTGAAGTCCTCTTTTCATAATTTACTTGACAGGAATAAAAAAAATAGGTAAATGATACGGTCAAATGGATGTTCCAGTGACCTTCTCTGGATAGACCAAAGGAGTGGGCTAAAATACATTTGACAGTCCACAGTTCTGCAGCTGTGTGTGATACGGTGTAGCCTTAATGCTACTTAGGCTCCATCAAGTGTCTGAGAGATGAAAGGTACTAGACTTTCTCTGCTGCTCTGGAGTGCTCTCTTCTGAAAATGGCTGGACATCAAAACAAGCACACAGCTTGATTTAGTTCAAAGTTTTGTGTTATGCATTTCAAGGTTTATCAGTCAATAGGATTGTGATTTTCTTTATAAAAGAAAATGTTAAGTTTTCGTTCTGTTTGCTCTGTAAATGGGTATTGATTGCTTTCCTTTATGAACGATGAGCATGAGATGGTTTAACTAATTTTGCTTTCTAGTGCTATGGACTAAGTACCTGAGCGGTGCTTTCTAAACCACAAGCTTCCATTTCCATTCTGTACGGTATTAACCAGTCTCTTACTGTATGACAGTGATCTGCTTTGTGTTGGAGATTAGAACTGCTCCATGGAATTGTAAATAATACAAAAGGCTGAAATCATATACATAAAATCACATAAGGATGGTCTGTCGATACAGGGCAGAAAAATGAGAGAGTAAGACTTCATCCTTAATCTCAGAATAACTTTTACAATGCCGCTTCGAAAGGTAAGTGAAACTAGGAGAGTTAGACTAATCCCTGGGACTTATTAATGATTATTGGATGTTTACAATCAATCACACATTTAACTGAAAGAATTTAAGTGTTATTAAGTTTAATATCATAGAAAACTTGTAAAATCTCAACTTTTATATCTGTCAAGTGTTCTATGTCCTCCCTACTAAGATAATGAAAAATACATCCCGGGCTTGTAATTGAATAAAATGAGAGAGCGAGCTGTTTATTTCAGAAATCTAAAGAATGAAAAGAATAACAGATTATCAGAGAGGAGGAAAGAAGAAAATGGTGATCCAGAGCATTTCAAAATTGGTGTGGTTGGTTGGTTTAATCTCTCCCTTTGTGACAGAGCCTGGGAAGAATTATTACTTACCTGTCACTTTGGCTTCCTTAATGAGCCATTTCACAAGTAGGGTTGTGTTTTCTTTCCTATCTTTCTGCTATTTCTCTTCCTTTTGCCTCTGTCCAAGATAAAAGCATGTCTGGTTCTTCGATGGGGAAGGGGTATTCATACTGTGTGTTCTTATCTTACAACTTTATATATAAACTGCTCCAAGATTGGAGTGACAGTGTAAGACAGGTTTGAAGTGTTGGGCCAGAGCCAGTGATTCCTTGCCTGCACGCTCTGCTCTGCATGTTCCAGCAGTAGGAACAAGCTGCATTATTTTATTTCAAACTGTGCTCAGCGGAAGCCAAGACCTTGTAACTGGAAACGTACCAAACTGAGAGTTCTCAAAGTAGAGTGAGGGTGGTGTGGTGGTGAGGGGGACTGATTTCTTTGTTTTTATTTTTTTAGTTTTTTAGCAAGAAAGTGGAAAGGACCTATTTGTGGTTAATTTCTTTTAACTTGATTTGAAATATCCTTAAATAGTTAAGTTGAATATGATTTAGAGGTAACTGAGTTGAGGCTGTGTTTATTACTTCTTTTATAAACCTTGTGTACTGAAGCTACGGAACAATTATTCCTGTTTTCTTGGCCTTTTTCTTTTTTTCCTACAGTAAATCTAGCAAAATGTTAACGCAATTATTCATGTTGAATTTCTTCATGTATTCTGTGATCTAACTACTCATGAAAAGCCAGATATGAACCAAAAATGCATAAAACCCCTGTGCTTGGCAAAAACCCACCTGCTGGTGGAGCATGCTGTTGCAAAAATGAAACCAGAGCTTTCCTTGCATCCAGGATTCTCTCTCCTCCATCCTAACTTGCTCCTGCAACCCTGCCGCAATAAGGGATGGTAACTGTTTGTGGTCAGGGCAGCAGCAGGTTGTCTCTCGTCATCAGAAGGTGACTTACATGAGGATGGCTCTTTAAAGAGACTTAACCTTGTGAATTTCTGTGATGGTTCTGTTTGGCTCCATCACACTGAGTTGAATTTCTTTACATAATTTTTCTGTTATTTTTTTGAGTGTTAGTACAGAGCAAAAAAATACCATTCTGACATGGATACTTGTTTGTTCCTGGGAGTTGAGAGCTTGCCGTGTCACTTCTTCCATGTCACAGGAAGCTCTCATACACAACTTCTCATTCCCTGGTTGGTTTCTGATATGCCTCAGGGCTCTGAGGATGAGGGAATGGTGGGTCTTAGGAAAAGACAACAGATGATTAATACCGTTCACCAAATGTCCTTGTGACGCAACACAGCTAAGAGCTTGCACAGCTCTTGTTCTACAGCAGTCCTACGAATCTGTTTTCAATGGACAAGCTCTTCCTTCCCAAGAGCTCGTGCTCTTGCTGTCCTTCCGACCTGCCAGTGTGGGTCTTGACCTTCCTAGGCAGCCTTTGCAACAGCCCTGCTTTCACTGCTTGATTCTTACATAGCTCAGTCTTAAGCTTTCTCCTTTGTTTTTAGTCCTGAGTAACGCAGAAAAGTGATCTTCCAAACACACGGAAGGCGGCCGTTTCTTCCAGCGTACATTGCACGCTCGCAGCCACGTACCGCGTCTGCGATGCTCTGTGGTGTGTGTGCATCAGGAGAGAGAGAGCAAAATGCACTGGGAAGATGGCCTGTTGTAATTCAACAGCAGTTTCTAGCTTTTATGTGTGTGACAAAATCCCATTGATTCAATTTGCTCAAATAAGGCTTTTAGAGTATTCGATATAAAACTGCGAAAAGTGAATTAGTGAATCGAGTCTGTCTTACAGAGCTGTCTTTTTTACATTCTCTAGCAACAGCTGCAGGAAGCTGAGGTAGTGGAACTAATCTTATTTCAAAATGCTGGATTCCTATAGTTTTGACAGTTGGGCATTTCTCAGGCTGCCTTATTATTAAGTGCTTGTTTTCTGTCTGGCAATCGCTAATCAGGTGAGGTCTCCAGCAAATACGCTATTTCTTTTTTATGAGCCCCTATCTTGGCAGAGTTGAAGGACAGTGCTGGTGCTTACCCATGGTAGTACGCTATTTGAATTCATGCCAGATAGCAAGGTGGGAGTACATCTCAAAAATAAGTGACAGGTTCTGCTCAGATGTCTGCAGTGTTGAGCATTATGTCTGTTTAATCTTTTCTTGCTGAGTTTTAAGACCGATGGGAGGGGGCTTGGAAGGGGCCTCCTTGCATTTCTGAGTTCACCCCTCTATAGTGGCCACCATGTTGTATAATAATGCCAGGAAAGAATCCATTTGATCTTTAGAGAAGCAATTTTTAAGTAGGAATTAACTTTTTAAACAGTATTTTTTACAGACATCTTTTTGATTTGGAAGACAGAAAACATAAAGGATTTAGGAACATAGAGGAAGACCTGCAGTGGGCAAGCATGCCCTTTTTTCCTGCTGCACGTTTTGGAGCTAGGCTGTGCCTTTCGTCTAGTCTGTGAGAGGGGAGCATCTTCTCCAGTAGGAATAATATAAAGATAAGTTGAAATATAATGGGATAGGGATAAATCTGTAGTGTTTCGTGTGTCATGAATACAGGATAAATTCAAGATTTTCTAGCTTCTAACTTTTGCCTTAATTAGTGTCCCAACATACTGTTATTTCCATCCCATATGGACTGTAAAAGAACATTCACCTGCTAATAAAGAGCTTTCTTATTGAGAAAGGCTGAACAGGTACTTGCTCAGATACTCTCTGTACCCTGCCTGCTTCCAAAGATGCTGTTTCCTTAGGACGGTTGTTCAAATCTAGTTTAAATTCTTTCATATTCTCACTTTTGGAACCATGTTATCAGCACTGGGATGCTGTTGAGCTTTGTGAACCCTCTTGTTACAACACTTGCCAAATCAAGCAGTGCTGGGGTGAGAGCGACTGTGTAGTTTCACAGGAGACAGAAGTGAAAATCTGAGGGGTATTAGAAGAGGGTCAGACAAGACTCTGCCTCTGGATTTTATCAGTGTTTCTTGAGAGTTTAATGAAGTTGTGGAAATACTGAAGTGGGTCTTAAGATGAATAGAGATGAAACAGTACTATTTGGGCTGGTGAGTGTCACTAATTCAAGAAAACTTTTGGCCAAATTATCTATGGTTCAGTATAGTAGAGACTTAGTAAAGAATGTAGGCCAAGAGGTGGACATAGTAGAACAGACAGAAACCAGAGATGCAAACAGATTTTCTTTGTGGCCCTAGTGAATGGGACAGCGGTACAGCAGTGAGCAGCTTTCTCTGTAGAGAAGCTTCGTTGCTGCACAGGAAAATGCAGCTGCTGAAGTCTGAAGAAAGTAAGGTCAAAGTAGTGTCTGGAAAAAAAAACAAACACAAAGAGATATGAATCTGAAGACTAAGATCTGATTTCCGAAATTTATATTTGGAGTTGAAAGTTGGATGTGGTAGCATTCTCCCTTAAAGAAACTACAGTTCTTTGAGATATATTTCTATGAAAAAACTTGAAACCTGTCACAATGAAGTCTAGAAATAGTGAATGTGTAAACAAAGGCTACTAGGGAAGAGTAAATATGACCTTTGCAAAAGAAATTCATGCTTCAAATCTTAAAAAAGTCTTTAACAATCTAGGCAAGATTGAACAGTGATGAATTCTTCAAAGCTATTAAAGCGATTTCCAAGGCAAGAGTGTTTGATCCTCATGAGGGTAAACAGCTGACTAAAAGGTTGAGGGGAAAAAGGATGAGAGAAATGACCGGTTTTCCTAATTCTGGAAGCTGCTAAGCAGTCCTACAGTGCTCTATTCTGGAACCTCAGAATTCAATGTCCTCATGAAAAACAATTTTTAAAAAGCGGAGAAAATGTTGTAGCAGTCATTTTGTGGCATAGCATGGATAAATATAAAATAATGCTTATGGGGGAAACACTTCTAACCATGTAAGCAATCATGGTCTGAATAACGGAAGTAATTAATATCACTCAGAAAGAGATACTGGAGGTTTTTTTAAAAAAGAGAGATCGAATGATCTGTGAAAATGCCAGCTTATTGCTCTGTTGAAGGCTTAGAAGCCAAGAAATTATTATGAAGAGAGTCGAGAACAAAGAGGAGGGCATAATGCCACTAGATGTGTTCATGGCTTGCCACATTGTGAATATTGCATGAGTACTTATCTACTCCAAAATAAAAAACGATGAAGTGAAACAGTGAAAAGTACAGAGAAGTGTAACGAGAACAAGCAAATATACAAAATAATCTCAATTAGGGAAAGCAGAGTAGCTTAGAGCTCTTCACTCAGCCCGGTAAAGACACTAAGGAGGGAGGCAACTGGATAGAAATATGGAAAATCATGTGTGGCCCTTAGAAGATAAGTAGGAAATTATTTTCTTTATTATTTATTGTCTCAAAATACTCAAAACTCAGGGCACACATTAGAACTGTGAGGGAACAGGCTCGAAATGAAGAAAGGGCAGCACTTGTCAATGTATTTATTTGAATTCATGGGCACATGAAGTGTGCACTGCAAGCTGGTGGGTTCTGAGAAGGTGGGAAATAGCAATTTTGTTGATGAACATGTTGGTCAGTGTTTTTAGTAACTTGTGTTGACCACTGTTGGTCAGAAAGCTGGGAGACAAGGGATTTTTGATCTGGCTTAGTAGGCCATTCTTTTTCTTAGGTTTTCCTTGGCTAGGTGGTAGGGATGATTTGAATTCAAAACCATTATTAAACGGATAGATTATTCATATATTTTAGGCACAGTAACAATATCTCCTAACTAGTTACAAGGTATAGCTTAAAATTCTGACTTCTCCACTGAGGGGTTTTATGTCTGAAATTTTAACCTTTGGAGTCCTGTCTGGGTTTACAGCCGGCACACGAGGTCTTAGGTTCTAAATGATTTTTAAAATTTGTGTCTGTTTTGAGGTGTAAATTGCAAAGTGTATTTTGGTTCACCTTCATAGTTGCTTTTCTGCTTTTGAACAGCACCTGCTTGTAAAGCTCATACCTCACTGTGGTTCTTCTCTGAACCACGCTGCAGAGCAGCACAGTCCTTCTCCCAAAGACCCCATGTTCCTTGGTGCAGTCTCATGGCTTATCCAGGTCTGTATTGTTCAGAGGCTTAAAAATAACACATAAAATATGTGCCTGTCTACCATCTTCTTGCCTAATGATCTGCATTTTAATCAGAAAAACAGGTTCTGGTACAGAAACTGCATTAGAATTACATAAAGGCTTTGGCATTGAACATAAGCCAAACTACATCCAGAGTTGTAGCTGATCTTCACTGACATGGAGCATTGAGAGACTTTATTAGCTCATCTAGACCATTTTCTTTTCCAGTCATGGGTTCCCTACGAAGAGGTATATAATTCAGTCGTCTATTTTAATGGTAATTAATAATAATGAGGGTCATCTTTTCTTTTTTTAAGGTTACATTACATCTAACTGAATTAGAATTAATGTCAGGATTTGTCTTTGCTTAGTTTCATCTTGCACAACTTCAGGCCACCACAAGGACCTCAGTCCTTTAGAATTTGTCTTTCCAGTACTGGTAAGCAGTGCTCTCCCTCCCTCTCGTCCAGACAAGCATTACGTGCTTGATTGCGTCGTACCCTCAGGTATCTGGTAGGCTTTTATCGAGTATTGTTTTCAAAATGTGTCTCACAAGTGAAACATGTTGTAGTACTTGTGCTGGGTATCATTTGAGATTAAAAGACACTCTAAACTGCAAAAAACATTGTCAGGGTGGATTTGATTGCCAGTCACCTCTTAGTCTTTTCCTTGGACGTGTCTGTCTATATGAGTGTTCTGATTGATTTATTTGTTTTCTATTTTCCCAAGTGTGTGTGTGTATGGTCATATCCTCTTGTTATGGTATTTTGACTATAGCTTTTGCTGAATGGAGGAGTACCATTTCTTCTCCTTTTTAATGTTTGTAGTGAATGTGACAAATATCCTGCTTATCTTCTTTTCCAAATTATTAATTAACATTTGAAATAGGATTGAGAGATGCAATTTCCTCCAAAGCGCTGTGAGGATTCTCTCCGTAGCTTGACTGGCACTTGTGTTTGCTACTTGTGATCTTTTTCATTCAGTACTTGCCAACATCAAAACTATTCTGAATGAGGTTTTAAAACTGTAACTGAGAAATTCAATGGATCAAATGATTTGGTGAAGGGCAATTCGGTAAAAATCCATTTTAAATAATAAAAAATTAATCACTGAGTTTAGTGTCACATGTTCTTAAGAAATGTGTGCCAATCATTGTGTCTTCCTGAGCTCAAATACTTTTTTCAGTTTGTGTTGTAGTTTCAGTGCAGTTTTATGGTATTTAATGGATGGCAATTACCAGGATCGGGGGATTTGCCGTTAGGATTTTTTAGTTCCCTTTGTGTTTTCATTTCCATGTTTCTGTTGCTTTATAGAACACTGGTTTTGTTTGTTGAATGAATCATGTTCTCAGCTGTTTACCAAGTCAGTTGAATGACGACCACCATAAACCAGTCATGCTTCACCTACAAATACTCTTTTTTTTTTTTTTTTAACAAGAGCACTGTATATTTTGTAATAAAGCATGTTGATATGAAAGCAGAATTGATTCTTTACTTTTTTTTCCTCCTAACTTTACCTTTTTAAGCTTGGTTTTTGTCTTATTTATGATCCTGTTTTAATATGTGTTTTTCAGTTAACTGCCTGCATTCATGGGTCTGCAGCTATGCTCTACCCGATGTTCTGGCAGCATGTTTACATTCCTGTTCTGCCCCCACATCTATTGGACTACTGTTGGTAAGGCTATATATATGTGTGTATGTATCTATATTATATATATGTGTATATATATCACTTAAATTCACAACAGTTTTCACATTTCTACATAGTAAGTCTTAAGTACTCTGATGATGCAACTGTTACTCTAAAAATATATAGCTGTATTAAGGAAGCAACCAACCTAGTAAGTAAAAAGGTTTATTTTCATGGCAAGATATAATTGTCTATCAGTACGTTGAAATACTCTAGTATGAGTGGTTACTAGGAAATGCTGCAACTTGGATGCTGTGTAATCAGAATCTTTTTTCAGCATATCTGTGTTAAACATTAAAATTTGAATTAAGACTCCAACAGTAGAGGATGCAGTGGAGAAGATCCTCTCATTCTTCAGCTTTCCTCAACTTCTGTTGGGGGTGGAGGGGAAGCTACTGATTTTCCTGTGGTGACCTTTTGTTATCAGCGTGTGTTTAGAATGCTGTAATGGTGTTTACATTCTTTAGGGGAATGAATATAAACCTTTCAAAAGCTTATTCTTTATCACGATGTGACGAACGTTGGCACAGCCCATGAGCAACCTCGTGTAATGTCAAAGCTGGCCCTATTGCAACTGGGAGCTTGGACCAGTTGCCCTCCTGGGGTTCCTTCCAACCTACTCTGATTCGAGCCGGTGCAGGTGGCCGTAGAAGCCCCCTTATTCATGGCTGGGATCTGTGGGTCAGTGTGTCGTTAGGCGTGTGTCTCGTACGCTGTGGTTGATAGTTCAGACCCTGTGGGCAGTGCCCCTCCAGCGGTCTCTGTTTTTACTCCCCTAGTGCAAAGTCGAGCAGTTCAGCCTCATCCGCCGTAAGACCATCTCTCCTGTTTGCTGGGCACAGGAATGGAGGGTGAGCGCTCTGAGTAATCAACAAAGGAGGTTAAGATGCTGCTGCTTTTGGTTGCTCAGCTGTTAGTTTGTGTGACTTGCCCTTTTTTATTCTTCCCTCTATGTACATAGCGGGGAGATGAAGTTTGCCCAGAACGAATGGCCTTACCTTAGGCTTCCTAGAGAAGTTGAACTTGCCAGCCCTGTTAGAGAGTTAATGGAATTGTTGCCTGGGCAGGCAGGGATAGAATTAGCAAGGCCAAAGCCTGGATGGAGTTAAACTGAGGGATGTGAAGGGTAATGAGAGGCTTCTGTGGGCTTGGAAGTGAAAGAAAAGCCCAAGGAAAATGCAGACCTGCTGCTGTGAGGTCATGTAGTCAAGTGATGAAGGACCCAGGAAAGGCTGAGGGACTCTGTGCCTTGGTCTTTACTGGCAAGCTCTACTGGCTGGCCTCCCGGGTCCCCCTGTGTAGCAGGAGTGTGGTGCTTAATATGCTTTTGGGAATGATTTGAAAACACAGGAACAGCCTCCCTCTGCCCCCTAGCATTCTAAGAAGTCCTTCTAAGTAAAAAACAAACTTAATTTTACTGTGTCATCCAATGCCCTATTTTAAGTGTGGCTCTTAGCAAGGAGGTTGGCTGGTTTTTAAGTGATAGTGTTCTGTGTGACGTTTTGTCTGCATTTAAGCAAGAGTAAGGAATCAGCTGGGATAACTAGCGTTTTTAAGTGACATGCTAGGAGCTGAGACATGCAGATTTAAAGGAAGCTTGTTCCTCTGCAGGTGATTTAAATGTTAAGTGTATGCCTGTGTCCAGGGTACACTGAACTAAAATTCTAAAAAATCTAAAAACGGTTATCTCCTGTAGAAAGGAACCTTCAATTTACTCACTGCACAGGAAGGGCAGGTTCCAGTCATTTGCACTGCCAGCAGGTGCCCTTTCTCTGCATAATGGGCTTCGCATCTGTAATTAACACATGAAGGCTGCTGCTGCCAGCTTTTTCTGCAGGTACATGCTGCTAGGAGTTTTCAGGACAAGGATGTGGACCACAAGAGGCTTTTACACTGGGCCTGAAGATTAGGTATTCATCGACTTTCTGACAAAGACATGTTAAAAGGGGCTGAGTCCAGATCCCACAGATGGGAGCAGAAGTGTGCAAAAAGCAAACACTTGGGCAGCGTACCCAAGGAAATAAAGGCACAAGTCACTGAGCTCCACTGAATGAATTCTTTCAGGGCGTAACGCCCTGTCCATATAATGAATGAGCCAGCTAGTGTGTGAAAAGTATGATTTAAAAATGTATAATTATTAGTCAGATTGTAGTTGCATGCTGGCAAATGTAACAACTGATTACCTTCACCAGATAGGAACTTTAATTGGAGATGTAGCTACACACACTTTAATTGTTTGAATAAGTCAATTTAGCACCAATTTATGTGCCATAAATATATTTCTCAAAATAGAGTCCATCTATTTTGTAACCATGTGAACTTAGAGATGTCACTTTTGCCTAAGAGTCCCGAGAAATCAGCTCTGCGGTTTTTGCTTTATGGAGGTATTATTGCTTATTGGTGCCTGCCTCTTAAGGGAAGTGACCCGAGATTATTTAAAATGAAAGAGTTTAATTATTACGGTTATTTCTTTTGCAAATGTGACTTAAGAGTTTTAAAGAGCTGACGTGGAAACAAAATTTGAAGTAATGAGAATTCTTCAGTTCTTTGAATACAAAATATCACTTTCCTTCAGTTGACTGGGTCCATTTGTCGGCTGGGTTGTATGATGGGTTTGAATCTTCTCCTGCTCTTTTGAAAAATCACAGAATCACAGGATGTCAGGGGTTGGAAGGGATCCCGAAGGATCACCCAGTCCAACCCCCCTGCCAGAGCAGGACCACCCAGAGCAGGTCACACAGGAACACGTCCAGGCAGGTTTTGCATGTCTCTAGCGACTCTCTGGGCAGCCTGTTCCAGGGCTCTGCCACCCTCACAGTGAAAAAGTTTTTCCTTATCTTCATGTGGAACCTCCTGTGCTCCAGCCTGCACCCCTTGCCCCTGGTCCTGTCATTGGCCATCACCGAGAAGAGCCCGGCTCCATCCTCCTGACACTCACCCTTTACGTATTTATAACCATCAATGAGGTCACCCCTCAGTCTCCTCTTCTCTAAGCTCGAGCCCCAGCTCCCTCAGCCTTTCATCAGAAGAGAGATGTTCCACCCCCTCCTTCACCTTTGGGGCTCTGCGCTGGACTCTTCCCAGCAGTTCCCTGTCCTTCTTGAACTGAGGGGCTCAGAACTGGACACACTGTTCCAGATGGGGTCTCACCAGGGCAGAGGAGAGCGGGGGGAGAACCTCTCTCCACCTGCTGACCACAGCCCTTCTCATACCCCCCAGGATGCCATTGACCTTCTTGGCCACGAGGGCACATTGCTGGCTCGTGATCATCCTGCTGCCCACCAGGACCCCCCGGTCCCTTTCCCCTACGCTGCTCTCTAGCATCTCAGTCCCCAACCTGTACTGGGACATGGGGTTGGTCTTTCCCAAAACGGTGTGCAGCCTGTATTATTTGTGATCTTTGAAAGTTTTTGATAAAAAGTATATTCCACCTGTGATTATTTGCTTTTAATCGTCTGAGTTGCGGTGGAAACTTTTCGTATAAAGGGAACTTGTTCCGACTGATATACTGACAGCTCCATCCTTGTGAGATCTGTTGTGTTTCCTGGGGAGGGAAGGGCGACACCACAACTATTGGATCTTTCCCGAGCTGCAAAAAGGTGGAATAGCTCTCTTGGCAGAGAGGGAGTGGGTAGGATAACTAACTATCCTCCTGCCACTTGAAGATCATTGTGGCCAACTTCATGTAAGAGGAACTGCAGGCAGGGTGTGGAGGGTTCCCTTCAGCTGTTGAGAGGGGTGTGCTTTCCTGAGGGGGGCGGGAAAAGGTGGGCCGTTGGGTATCGTTAATGTATATCGTTATAATGTCGTTACCAGTGAATGGCGACTCTGCCACAAACAAGCTCAATGTGAATACGTTTCATTGACATTGTTAAAGCACAAGTTTTTTCTGTAGCATTTTATCCTTTATTGACACTTCACACCAAGTACTTTCAAAACACTTACTGTGGTTTCTCACTTTTTCTGTTTGCTCTTTGCTAATTTTTTTAAACTTATAATACAGAAGGGGGTAGTTTTCTTCACATTTCCCTTTTGAAAGGATTTTTTTAAAACATAATATTTGTGTTCACCTGCATTCCAAATTTGTGTACCTAACCACAGAATTGAAAATGCCAAAAGCCTGTGTCGTCAGATGTTCTCGATACGCTTGTACTAGGGATGCTGAGTCAATAATAGTGGTGCACTACCATGTACGTGTATCTGGAATGACTTCAGTCATCTCATCCCTGTCATTGAGATTAAGTGAGGGTGGGGGAGGAGGGGAGGGGAAGCAAGAGGAAGAGTGCTATCCTTTATTTTTATTCTTATTTTGTTTTTTTAATTAGATACCGTTCTTTGATATATTTTCAGCCCAGGGAAAGATTTTTGGTGGAGGAGACTAGAAATTGGTGGGAATCCAATCATTAGATTTCATACCTCAATGCACAATTGCTCGTTCCTTTAAATACAGGACAGAGGGAACATATGAAGTGCTGCTGGTTGGGGTTTTGGTTTGGGTTTTTGGTTTTGTTGTTTTTAAAAAAAGGTACATGTCAGCAGGTGCCAAAAGTGCTGGTTGATGAGATGCTGCCACCAAACATCAGTAGCCAAGCACATGCAACTCCTTGAGTTTGGCCGGATCTCATCCATCTATTTTATCGTTGGGAATTTAAACATTTCTTGATGTGAAAGACAAGTCTATTAATTTTCCTCACTACTTCTACCAGTTTGTTTTTCATGTGGCATAAAAACACTCCCACTGTGTCTGTTTTCTTCCTTTTTTTGCTCTTGGTGTCTGTGTTTAAAATTAGCCTGTAGGAAAAGCCTGTCTTTGCTGACCTGGTAACACAGCTTAGTGTGTTCTCCAAGTCCCAGAGCATTGTCACTCGGGTTATTCTGGGGGCTTTTACCAGTAGCAACAGTATATTTTCTAGGGTGATTAAAACAGTCTTTTATATTAGATAGAGTGCTTAGCAGCCGACATTAATATATTCCGAGAGCCACCT